CCTGGCTGCATCTTGCTACATCAGTCCTGCTCATTGATCCTTGGCCATGTCTGCTATCATGGTTTCTCAGGTAACTTGTGTTGGGCAGTCAATCTGATGATGGAGTGTGAAGACAAACTACTGCCTACTTCAGTGATAGTTGATGAGTATGTGTTTGCTTCAAATTAGCCTCCTTCCAAACTTGTAGCACATGCACTGAGGTTGAAATCAAAGATTTCTATCTTAGAGTTTGGGCCACGTGTATTATGGTATGACATGTCAGCTAAAGGCAGTAGGTTGCTATATGCGGTAATGTGCTTATTTAATCATGCTCATATTGAGAAATTGCATTATCTCACAGAATAAGCTGAAACCTCTGATCTCACATTGAATAAACAGAAGGACTTACAGAAAAAAAGCATAAAAAATAACCTTTGTGCTAGACTCATATATGCTATGCAGTATTTGATGGAATTATTTTGTGTATTTATAGAGTGAGGGTTTAAAATGTGCTTAGAGAACTAACGGGTCACTCTCCAATCCCGCAGATCTGAAACAAAATGTGAAGATTCTGACAACTATATATTTAGAAGGTTACTGATTCCCCAGGGGCAGTGGCTGGTCCACACTGGAGTAGCAAGGTAGCTCAGAATTCAGAGTGAAATGGTGTGAACTGCTCCAATGGGGAATGCTAAGTGCTGGCAGCAACCCACTTTGAAGCCTGTTGGCAACACATTCCCCGCAGCCATGCTGTTGTGTCAGGGATTCTCCCTTGACTGGCAGACTGCAGGCTGGCCAAGCCCAAAAGGTCAGACTCAGAAGTGACACTGCAAGGGACCTAATAGTACTTGTTTCCAGTCTACTAAGCAAAGCAGAGTACATTTGCACATCTGAGTTTGACAAGGAAACAGGCACATGCATGGATAGCACTGCTTTTCAACTCAGGTCTGCTGCACAGGGGCTTCTATGTGGTGTCTCTGGAAAAACTAGGCTGGGAAGAAGATGGCACCAAAAAGAACAGGACAACAATGAGGATTCAAGGAACAAACCCCAGTGGAGAAGGACAAGGGGATGCTGGGCAAGAGATGACTGAATATGAGCCACTGTGTGCCCCGGTGGCCATGATGGCCAATGACATGCTGGCCTGTATCAGCAATAGTGTGGCCAGCATGACCAGGGCAGTGATTGTCCCTCTGTACTCAGCACTGGTGAGACATCTTGAGTGCTGTGTCCAGTTCTAAACACCTCAGTTGAAGAAAGACTGAGGTACTGGAGTGAGTGCAGAGAAGGGCAATGAAGACCATGAGGCTGGTGAAAGGTCTAGGGGGTAATTCATATGAGAAGTGTTTGAGGGAGTTGGAATTGTTTAGCCTAGAGAAAAGGAGGCTCAGGGGAGACCTTATCACTCTCTACAACAAACTGAAAGGAAGTTGTAGATAGGTGGGAGGTGTCCGCTTCTCCCAGATAACTAGTGATAGGGCAAGAGGACATAGCCTCAAGCTGCACCTGGGGAGGTTCAGGTTGGATCTTAGAAGTAATTTCTTTATGGAAATGGTTGTTAAACATAGGCAATCATTTCCAAAGGAGTCACCACCCCTGGAGGTGTTCAAGAAACCACTATGTGACATTTAGTGCTATGGCCTAGTTGACAAGGTGGTGATCAGTTAATGGCTGAACTGGATGATGTGGAGGCCTTTTCCAATCTAAATGATTCTATGATTCCATAATAGAGTCATTCGCTTCAAGTTAACACTAAAAAGGACTGAAAAAAAAAGAAAAATATCTCAACCAGTCTGCACAAGTTCCAAACTTTCACTCTGTTTCCAACATTGTGATAGTGTAATAATTTGAATTGCTTGTTGTTTTACCTTGCAGAGGATTGTACAAGTCTTCAAAATTATTGTCCTAGAGAAATTCCACTCTCAATTATAGTGTAGTGGGTATTTCTGTAGTAACATGCAACTATCAAAGACAAATTATGAAGGATCCTGATGAAAAATAAGTTCCTTGCCACAGTTTAACTGCATCCAGCAACTAAACACCACACAGTTGCTCACTTCTCACCAACCCCGAGAAGGATTGGGGCAAGAAAATATGGAGGGTAAAAGGGAGAAAACTCATACGTTGACATAAGAACAGTTTATTAATTGAAATACAATATAATGATGATAATAATAGCAATAATAATAATAATGAAAAGGAAAACAACAGAAAAAGAAATAAATTCCAAGGAATAAAAGCAATGCAAATGAAAACAGTGACAAGTACCCTGAACAAGCCCTGGCCAACCGTCCCCTTAATTTATTGTTGAAGATGATACCATAGTCTGGAACATGTCTTTGGCCATCTGGGGTCACCTGCCCCAGGTGTGTCCCCTCCCAGTCCCTTGTGCTCTTGGTGGGGTGAAGCAGAGAAGGACGTGACTCTGCATAAGCTCAGCAGTGACTGAAACATTCCTGTGTCACCAACACTGCTTCCAGCACAAATTCACAACACAGCCCCAATAGTAGCTACTGAAATAAAATTGACTCTGCCCTAGCCAAACCCAGCTCATCATTCTACCCAACACTTGTGAGGCCACATCTAAAGCACTGTGTCCATCTCTGGGCTCCCCAGTACAACTGAGAATGAAGAAGACAAAGCCAGACTCTTCTCAGTAGACCCCACTGACACACCAAAGGCCTTTGGCATAAATTAAAGCACGTGAAATTTCATCTAAATGCAAGAAGTTTATTTTTTCTTCCCGTGGGTGTGGTCAGACCAGTCTTGGGAAATTTTCTTTGCAGGGTACTTGCACCAGAGGAGCTCCAGAGGTCCCTTCCAAACTCGAGTGTTCTGTGAGTCTGTAATAGCACTTGGGAAGAACTTCAGGCTTTTAAAGCAATGTTAAAATGTAAAGATTATAAATTCTGTGCTCCAGGTGCCCTGCTTTGGAGTATAGAAATTCTCCTTTAAACCATCATGGTTTTTTTTTCTTTTTTTTCTTTTTTTTTTTTTTTAATTGATCTCAGGCAAGAAATAAAGCCATTGGTAAACACGGTAAACCAGAGCTGCATGTATCCAAAATATCTGTTCATCTGCTTTTGAGAAATTGAGTAGGAAAATAAACTAAGTTACTCTTTAGGAATTTTTTCTCAATTATCAGCTAAATAAAGGACAGCAGATAACAGAAATGCATATATTGAAAGGGAGAATAATTACTAATGAAATTAGTAATGGCTAAATATCTTCAACAACTCTGATGCAAAAATGCAAACAAAGAGGTGAAATTTGCTGATGACATGAAATTGAAAGATGTCACCTATTCAGAGTAAACTGGAAAGGAAGAAAAGGTCAGGTGATTTTAAGGAATGTTATGTTTGAAAAAATGATGAGATATCACTGAAAAAGCCCCTACACTTAACAGCAGAAGCCCGACTCTTAGCACCAAGGCTCATCGGCAGAAGAAGACAGTGACAGAATTATTCTTGGGTTGATAATAGACTACCACTGTATTCAACCATGAGAAGGAAAATGCAGTGCTAGGGTGTGTCAAATGATGTATTGCTAAAGATGGAGAAGTGTGTTGTCTTTGTATGAGGACCTGGTGAGTACAGGTTGAACCACTGAATTTTAGCAGGTACATGTGGAGAACAGCTGTGAAGATGACCATAAAATGGAAAGCCTTTTAGTGTGACAGACTTGTTTTTCTTCTTTGCTGAAGACAAGAAAAGGTAAAAAGAAATAATACTTTTATGCTAAGACAGCGTCAAAAAAAGAATATGAAAAAATGAGAAACAAACTAAGCTGGAAATTACAAGAAACAGAAAAAACCCAAACTTAACTACTTTTAAGATGCATCTTAGAAAAGATGATGCGATTACTTGCAAGGATAAGGAATTTGATTTAGTGACTCTTTTCCAGTCCTCTGTGGCCTTCTAGAAAGCATCTTTCACTGAAGCATCTAACACCAAAGGAGACTACCACATCCAGTGCATAACAAGAGGCATAAAATCAAGGTAAATCACATTTTTAAAAATGAAAGTGCTACTTTGTTGAACTACAGCTATATTAGTGAAACATTTTTTGCTGTAACTGCAAACTGATTCATCCACAAAGCATGATCCAGATTTCTTTGAGAAGAAATGTCATGTACTTTTATCTAAGCCCTTCATGTTTAATACAAAATATTGTATCATATTTTACCTTAGAAATCACTGAAAAAGGATCAGCTGATGAAGCTAAAGTCTATGAGTCAAAATTAATTCATTTAAAGACATAATTCAATACATATTTTAACATCTTGTCTACTCCTTAATTTCAAGCACACAGAGTACAAAAGATTTGATTGATGTTTTCTTCCTGATTTCAGATGTGTAAAATAAAAGTGCATACCCTAAGAACTTTAATTTCTACATTATAATAAAAAAGTGAGTCCTTCCCAGTTCTAAATAGCAATTTGAATGTACTGCTTCATACCATTAACATGAAGAATTACTATGTGTGATTTACCCATCAACATGTTTCGTTTTATGAGTTACTTCTGGTTATTTGGAAATGCTGATTTATGTTTTTCTAGTCTTTGGAGTTAAAAAAAATCCAAAATATTGATAACTGTTCCTGGAAAAAATATTGATCTAGGAAAGAAGCAAATCTTCCTAATGTATTTTATGTTTTGGAAGCAAATTGAAAGCACTTTTTGGTCAAAAAGGAGTTTACTGTGCTGGCAGATATTATTTTTGCAGATGTGCTCATCAATCAGCAAGGCATTTTTGATACCATGTTTTTTGTAATATGCTTGCACAACAATAAACTTCTGCCTTTGCATTTCTTGTTTTCAGAAGTGAGTCCTTTTGATTTCACTTAGTGTTCTCCTGTATTCTGACCTTTAATATGACCCATGGGGTTGATTTTCTGGATCCAGTCTGAGTGTGAACAGTTATATCTATGAGATTTTTACTTACATCTGAAGGTGATCTCATGAGAGTTTTGCTATATAGGAGTGAAATCTTCCAAGCATAGTCAATACCAGTTTGACATTGTTAATTCTAAACTTGCAATTGAGGTGTTTTATGGTCTTACATTTCATTAAAACTCAAAATAGTTTCCTTCCCATGAACTATATGTTTCTCCTTATTGAAGAAATCCTTTATTTACTTAACAGTAATTTAACATTAGAATTTGACAGTGAATTAGTTCAAGGGTTCAGATTAGCAGTGTAGAGTAAGGGGCTACAAAAGATTAAATTGCTTCCCCCCACAATTCAATATTACCAACTTTTCCAAGAAAATGGCAAAGTAAGTTGCAAAACATACCTTCTCTACTTTCTTAATTGAAGTTTTAAGGGAATGGCTCCACTATTTCTCTGATAAAGGTCTTCTAAGAAGCTGATTTCATCCCTGTCCAAGTCAACAAAATCATATTTCTATATTTATGATGGGTTGACTGGAATTGACAAAAATGGAAGTAATTCTATGGGAAAATTAAGCATGAAAATCTGTATAGTGGTGTGTCTTACTCCTTTTAGAGATATGTTGCATGCAGAAAGAATATTTTGTGAAATTTATTTCATCACAATAAAAAATTGCTACATTTTTTCCAATTGTCATTGTAATGAATTGAGGATAGAAACCTAACAAAGGTCAAAATGTCAGCCCATGTTTTCAGTGATGCATCTTGCAGCTCTCCCTTCACTTAAAGAGCTGGATTCAAGGATGATCTTGTCACCTAGAGCTCTAAGACTGGCACCTTTGGAATTCAGATCACACCTGAATACATTGAAGGTTACCTCTGCTGGGGCATAACACTGTCTGTCTGGATCTGAATACTCCTGATTGCTTTTCCATTCAATAATTTACAGTTTCTGCAATATTTGCCATATTTTGCAGGCACTGTTTTGAAAATATTCTAACAGTGCCTGTGTATGCGTGGACTAGGGTTGAATCATATAATCTATGCTATGCATTATTTAAGTCCTGACACAGTATTACAAAGCAATTTTTGAAATACAGAAGAAAGCAAATTTTGCAATAGTTCTGAGGAACAAATATTACATTACGTTAATGTAATATTCTCTGTCTCATTCACTACAATAGAAATTCAGATTTCTGAATGAGAGTTTTTCCTTATATCCTGCTGGGATACAAACACTAACATCCTCAGCTCTCCAGAAGAATTTTATAGTTATTCTTGTTCTGGACAATGAGAAAAATATATTAAAAACTGATCTGAAAAGAAACTCTCTTTTCATGGCAAAGTGAGTCAAAAAAGCCCATTCTTATTATTGCATACTTTAGGACAATTAGTCATTTGAATTCACTGATGCTACTAACTATTCATATAGATAAGACAATAGTAAATTATGAACAAATGAGATCTAACTAAAGCTTTGATTCACTGTGTGAAAACCCAAAGAACCAAGGACTGAAAAGGACTAACAAAGTAATTTAAGTTCTAAGTTTCCTGAAGTGAAGACCTTGAGCTGCATTCTTCCTTGTAAAATAGTATAAGAAAACATAAATTATTACTTAAAGTATTGGAGAAAGGGTTACTTCAAGGTGTGTATGAAAATGTCTAGACTCATGTTCATATTCCAGAGAACAAAGGAAGTGTTGCTACTCCCAAACATCCTCTTAGGGTCTGAGTGAGCTTCATAACATGACACCTAAATTTAGATGTCTTCCCATGTGTTGGGCATCAAAGGTCTTTTTAGTGGTAATGGACATCCAGCCCATTAATTCCCTGGAGACTTGGAAGTGATTTAACTGTACACTCAACAGAGCCTCTGTGTAAGAACATTATCCTTTCCAAGGAATGTCTTGAGCTCCTTGTTCCTGACTTTACAACATTATCTTTAGCTGTATTTACCACATATCCATTTTTTCAGCCACATGCATTTACATGTTTATTACATGTTTTCCTGCAAGGTCCCCGATATAATCAGGCCATATCATAGGATAGGAGCAGGAATGGATCTTAATGGGCTACAAGGTCCATCTTCTTTCTTTGATACTAACATGTAAGATTTGAATATGTTATTCAGAGTATATGACCTGGTCCTGTTCATGCCATAATTAACTCCCCTGGCAGTAAGATGTACTGTTTATGGGTTCACTTATTTCATGGTAAGACATGATGATGTTTTGCTGGCCACTCTAGCGCTGCAAAAGACTTATTGAAGTGCCTTCATTCTTTCTAATATCTGATCCCTACCTGATCTTTCTCTTCCTCTTCCAGTGACGCTTCCAAGGACAGTATCACTCCACATAAGGGGCAGGGGAAGACGGGTGGGTGCTGAAAGATGCACGAAGAGGAAGATGAAGTTCCCAGGACATATTAGGGAATGGGGAGCTTGGTGAGCTTGAAGGAGGGGATGCCTATTGTTCATCAGCTCTTCTAGGGCCAACTCACTAAAGAAGGGTTAAATAAGCCCAAGTTGCTAAACCTGTTTTGAACTACCTTTAAAACAGACAAAGACACCTTGCCTTTTTCTATACTCAAAGAAATCCAGTAAAAAAAAGTATACATAACCGAACCTCCCCTGCCTTCCTCCCAGTCCACCCCCACCAGCTTACATACAACCCTCAAGAAATCAATGTGCCTCTGTCTGTCTATAAAAAGGTTATTATCTTTTTTTTATTGCCAGCAGTTCATGGGATCTCATGGTGTATGAGCAATCAGGTTGAGAGGAGACTTTAAAGAGACTTTTTCTGAGGTCAAGGGAATAGGTCAAATGTTGAAAGAATTTCCTTCAAAAATGTAATCAATGTGCTCCTTGGCTTGCAGGAAAGGCCTGAAGCTTTGGTAATCAAACCAGTTTTTCAAGCTAGAGATTTAGGGTAAGAAATGACTGCAATAGGGCTATATAGTGGAAGCTGCCTGTTTGCAGAAATTGCTAGGATCATTGTTTCAATAATATTCAACTGAGATGAGCAACTCACATTTGGATCCTGAGGAAGAAGCCCCACTTGAAGTGGATCGTGATGTTCCCTTCATGGAGAAAACCCCTTTGCCTCTACGAGTTGTTGTCACAGCCACACGGGGACGTTTGAGAGGAATCACTGCACGGGGCGGTGGGGGAACGCGGCCATGGTAATCAAACAACCTAGAAAACATTAAGTCAGCTGGACTCCATAAAACCCTCTATGATTTCATGTCATGGGAGCTCTGTCAACTAAATTTGCATGTTATCTTTGAGAAAATTACCCTTTGAAACCGTAATCACTTCATATCAAGTCAAATTAGATTTCAAGGACCTATGCACATTAAGTGCCTTATTCAGATTTCAGTCACACACTGGTGCACAGACCAGCTCAGACTTTTTGTGTGTCATTTAAATGAAGGATGTATTACAGGACTCTGCTATTTGCCATATGGAAAATCCATAACTTGCTTCCCACAGGTCCACATCATTTCATTGTTCACAGCCAACAGCAGTACATTTTGTTGTGACATTTCAGCTCCTTTATTACATGCATGGCTTAAATTCTAGTTTTCTATCTGCTGTTCTTTAAGATGTAAAAGTAAAGTACAAAAGAGAACTTTCCTGAAGACAACTATTACTGTAAACAAATATCCTGGAGTTTGTGAAATAACAAGAGTATTTTCATATGTCCTCTTTATTGAAGAATGAGTTGGTGTAGAAATACTAAAATACCCAAGCATGCCTAATAAAGAAAAAAAAAGTTCAAACCAACACCACTGTAGCAGGCAGATATTCATACTTTTACCACTACAGTCAATAAAATATATTCTATGACAAAAATGAACTTTTGTTCCCAAACAGAATTGCCTAATCCTAAAAATACAGTTATCAATAGTAGGTAACTAACCCCTGTGTAGAGGGAAATAAAGGCAGTAGAAAAGGCAATCAAAGCTACAGATATATTTAGAACATAAAAGATATGGGTTCTGGATATGATAGGTCAGGAGAAGAAGGTTCAGAAAACAAAGATTTCTGGTTCAGGGTCTCAAGCAGAGGATAAGCAACATCCTCATAAAATATTCTCAAATTTACTTGCAAGTAGTAATTATGGAATTTATAACTGCAGGTATAATTTTGTATAATTTTCACAGTTGTTTATACTGTCACCTAGCTGGGCAGATAGATACATTTGAAAAGGGACACACAAGAAACAGTAATTCACTCACCACAGCATCTAACAGTATGCTGAACAGGAAGCAGAGTCAAACTTACATCTTCTAACCCATTTTCTGGCAAGTACATACCAAGTGCTTAAATCAAACCACACTTCTGTCTGTACTGTAATCCTACACACAGTGTAACCATCTCCCTCCTTTTCTATAGCTGTCTACAAAATGTGACACAGAGATCCTGTCACACTCACTGACTGAAATCCATGGCATCAAATATTCCCACAAATGTGCAGTTTCCATCCGCTTTTAGCATATCTAAAAAATTGGGTGTGAAGATGAACACTAAACCATTGTTTTCTACTTTTAACACAAATATTAGTGTTTATTGTCACTCATCACTTATCATATAAATTATCTGCAGGTTGGTCACAAATTCCTTGTTGATGTTACTGGAAAAAATGTTTCTGAAGCCTTATAAGCTGTGCTGCAAATGTTCATAATGTGAATATTAGTCCAAAGGTGAATTATTTTTAGCTTCCAATAGTTTGTGTTTAGATAATATAGTGAAATGTGAAACTATGCCTACTTCTCTCAAAATATATAAAAGAATAGTTATCTAGGTGACTGTTATCTATCTATTCCTACTTTTGTTTGTGAAATTATGGAAAGGTTTTGGGCTTGGTATTTTGTTTTATCATGTTCTATATATTTCAAAAATATGCTTTATTTAAAAAAAAACAATGCTTCCATTTATAGTTTGGAAGTACTGTGCCTGTTTTTCTTGTGCTTGTAATATGAGAAATAATAAAGAGAGCTGCTCAGTTCTGAAGCAATTCGTTTCCCTAGTAATCACTAGTGTGCATACAACTATGCCTTTTCCTTCAGTTACCCTTCTAAATTTACAGTTCTGATCTTGCCAATCTATCTTCATATAGATTTTATTTTAAAGAACTATCCATTCTTGAGATTCTTTTCTGACTCCATCACTGCTTTAGTCAAGGTAAGAAAGACATATTCTCCCTTCAGGGAGGCTGAAAAGTTAATATTATTAATTGGTTGAAATAGTAAAAAACAAGATCTATGGTTCAGGATAAAGCATAGAAATTCAGAAATTTCAGAAGCTCAAAAATTCGAAGAATCATGACTGTATTTCTTAATTTATATTTCCTATAAATAGTTCTTACACCAAATTCTCCATGGAATTTTCTTTTCCATGACTACTATATCGAGGTTTTCATCTTTTCCTTCCATCAACTTTTAGATAAAAGAGGCTGTTCACCTTGTATGGTTTTCATTTTCAGAAGATCAGCATGTCCAGCCTTAAGGGGCCAACCTCATATCCAGGTTTTCTACCATAAAAGTTCTGCTATCTTAATTCTGAAAGACTTCTAAATTAAAAAATTATACTGTTGAATAGATCTATGGATACATTTCACTGTCAGTGGCTTCCCATACTGTCTTGGGGTGACTGTGTGATGCCTGTAACCCCAAATCACCTGCTCTATTGGTGTTGGATATTGAGTTCTGCAGCTTTGGGACTGGTTCCAGGAGTGAGGGGGGGAAAGAAGAAGTGCAGAGTTTGTTATCAGAGACTGCACGGGCTCCCCGCGTTCCTGCACACAGACTGTGTTGTCTGCAATGGACACAGAGAGAAAGCATTCTTTTTGCTCTTGGTTAGTTTTCCTGGCTAGCTGAGGCAGAGAAGCCCCCTGGACTGTGTTTTTTTTCCTTTTTCCTGGAACTGTTTGAATCTGCTCTGGACTGAAAACCCAGAAGAGCACCGGGATCTCACACCTGTGTCCCACCACGCCTGGCCTGGGCTGTGACATTCCCCGGCACAGGAGGGACCGAGAGCAGCCTGAGTGAGCCGGGCAGCCACGGAAAGAGCAGCGAGAGGTTTTGCTGTTTAGTATTGTTCATATTTGTGCTGGGAAGTGTTTTGCCTGTTAAATAAACAGTTTCTTCTTTTTTCACTTCTCTCCAAGGAAATATTTTCCCCCGAACCAAATGGGGGAGGGACTGATTGAATCTGTCTCCTAGAGGGACCCCATTCAGAGGTTTCCTCCCGAATTTGCCCTAAACCAGGACACATACCAACACAATTATCAAGAGAGATACCAAGATCCACAGAAACAACCCTTAACATTCAATAAGTTTGGGGCTTTTTTTGGTAAAAATGTAACCCTTACAGTTAATAATTTCTCCTACCCATAACAGAATTAAGGAAAAAACTAAATATACAACTTTAATATTCGTGTGGCATAGATGAGAAACACTGTTCTGTTTAAAATCATACAATTCTACAGATGAAATTCAGAGCTGTAATCTTGGAAAAAATAAATAAATATCTATGGAAGTTAACTTTTTACAGGACATGTGCTACTCCTGCTGCAAAGGCTGAAATGAGCAGGATTAAACTGCTTTGATAGCTTTTACTTCACATACTTATATCTCACTACATTTAGCTTTGTCCAAAGTGGGTATGGTGATTTACATGCAAAACCAAAATTAGTGGCTCAAATTGAACCCACATCTGGAGAAAACAAACATGAAAATACTGTTTCTACACTTTTCCTACTGCGTGGCTAAACAGAAAGGTATATAGCACATGCTAACTTAACTTCTGGTGTAAACAGTTCCCCTGTTACTGTCCATTGCTTCACATAAAAGAAATATCAGATTAGAACAGGTTGGTGGAGCAATGCTTTGTTCCTCTCTGACTCACTTGTCCTGTACCAAACCAAGCTGCTGTAATGCAAAGACACAGCACTGCTGGATAACAAGTTGGTTACCTGCGATCATTCATGCTACTCCTGTGTTGTGGAGATTCTGCTAAATCTGAATAAACATTTTCACAGTGCTGATCTAAGCTGTGTGTCACTACTCAAGGCAGAATCTCCAGTTGCTCAGGCATCCAAATTCTTTCTGTCCTATAGGAACACACTGCTCAGCTTGCTCTTTTGCTTCTCTCAAAGTTCTTCTGGACTGCTAAACATTCTTGGAACATTCTTGAGGACACAATGTATCTTTTCACACACATGGATGAAAAGACAAAGCTAGGAATATTATACTGAAGAATTTTGCAGCCACTATACATCACAGATAAAGTAAACCTTGAAAAACTCTATTAAATCACCATTAAACTGTTCAGCATAGCAAATGCCCCAAAAGCTCTTAGAGAAGGATAAAATCAAAAGACCAGCTTACTAAATATAAATTTGGTGGTGGTAATCTCCTCTGTGAGATATTAAGAATAGCCTTCTAATACATGATAGAAATAATGCAATGAATAGTAGATAAAATCAGAACTGGCCTGTTTAACCAAATGATGGGATTACATTGTCAACAAACATTAGAAATTATGCAGGATGTACAAAAATATAGGCACACATACCGATTGTAGAAATCATCTCTGTAGTAATCATAATCAAAGACATAACCACTGTGGAAAAACACAGAAAAAGAAGAATGAACTGCTTTTATAGGAAAATACACACTGATTAAAGCTTCTGTGGTAATATTGGCTTACTCTCAAATTTCTATCCCTTCTTCAAAGTCCTTCCACTTCCTTTGTACAATGTACTTTATGCTTGTCAATGTTGTTGTCACCTATCATTGTATATTTGGAAATGTGAAGTCTGGGGCACACAGAACTATGTAAACTGTTGACAGCACATACAGCAAGGATTTAACACAGTGAGACAGCTCTGTAATTAGAGGATCATTATAGTGTAATTCTCTGTGTGATCAAATGAAGTTAGCATTCCAAAACTGACACCCTCTTCTTTTTTGGTCTAACACAGCATCGTCAGTGGAGTCTGAAGACAGTTAAATACATGAAAGAGTGGGAAATGAGTGAGAAGGTGAGCTAAGACAGTTACTTTGAAATAAACATGAAAAGGATCGGGCTTCTTGTTGATCCTTGAGCCCACCAAATTATTTCATCAAAAAGAGAAAAAGTAAAAAGTTAAAAAAATAAGTGCTAAATAAATTTTACAGGGATGCATTTCCTCTTAGGTTTGGGAAGGAATATACATACCAATCTGGGAAAAGACAGGCACCATCAAGGGAATAAAATACATGTGAAATTGCAAAAGTCCATGAGAAAACTATTTTTGAGCTGTCAATAACAATGTCAATCTCAGACTGATCTTCCTGGCTTTGCATTCCATTAGCTACTTTCTGCTTTTGTGATGAAGAAATAGCAAAGAAGTCTTATCTATCTCATATATCCAAAAAAAAACCCCCAAGCCAACAAACCATTGAGCCAATAAAGGCTCTTTACTGAAAAGTCACAAGGGTTTATTACACTGCCTAGTAACACATATTCTAAGTTTTTCACTGTCTTGAAAAGGACAAGTATGAATAGTAAGGGTGAAAAGCGTGTAGAAATTATCACAAAAGAAGGAGAAGCTTTCAGTGAGAAAGGAAAAAGGTAGAAGAGGTAGAAAGGACAAAGCACAGAAAAAAAAACTTTCCCTGAAAATAAAGGGACATTTTAGAATGATAGTGTAATATAGGTTGGAAAAGATCTTAAAGATCAGGTACATATTAAAGAAGCTTTTCTTGGCAGGGAATGAACTTGTGGATAATTTCTGCTCCTGAACACTGAGCAAAATGGGGATTTCAGTGCATAATTTGAGGAATGTGTCAAGAATTCTACCAAAGCAGGTCAGGAGACAATTTTCATCTCTGCCACGCCTCTTTCACATGAAAGTGAAATTTGCCCAATTGCAAATAATAGAATAAGTTATACTCTCTATGTGCACAATATTGCAGATGAAGGTCATGAGAGCTGCAGTTGATCATGGCCCTTTTTGTAATTTATTTGAGAAAGGAAATCCTAAGATGCATTTCATGTGAAACACTTACTAAATTAAACAGCCCTGAGAGACTAGAACTGAGCAGCAGGTAAGCTGTGTGTGGCAGAGGATGCAAAATATCATTAAATAATAGTAGACTAGTGTTTTAAATAATAATGATCAGGTTTCTATATCTTAATGCAAAACTAGTCTTTTTTTCTGAAGTATATGACAGCTCTTATTTCACTCCAATCTGCATGAAACTAAGAAGTAGCAGGTATCAAAGCTATTATTTTATTTACAGCTATTCAAGCTTCCTAGTGATTTTATTTAGCTGAATGATTAATAGTTTCAGTAAGCCCATACTTAATATTCAATGTGTGTATTTTTAAGTAGAAGATAACAGACAATTTGAAGAAAAAATATTACATTTAAAATCCCTGTCACATGAAACCTTTCGCCTGGAGTTGACATTTATTTAATTTGCATAAAGACTGGACAAATTCACTTTTCAAGGTTGAAGACCATGAAGCTGGTGAAGAATAATTCACCAGCACCGGTTAGAGCAAGGCTGAAGGATGACTATATTTTTCTGTAGTAACTCAGCTCTGGCTTACAGGACAGAATAAGCACTGCTGGCCCCCCAATGGGTATGAAAATTTTAAGTTGAATGATGATGTTTCATCTGTAATAATAGGTTGAAGAGATTATAGTGTGAAAGCCACCAGTACATCTCTCCATCTACACCCATAATTGCTCCTACTTCTGCATGTCAAGGGACAGACATAAGATTTGGTCAGTGCTGCAGTATAACACCAAGCAGAAAATTAGCACAGATAATCACTGGCACTGAGATCAACGTGACTGCAAGGCTCTTAACCTCTTGAGAGTTATTCCTTAGCAACCCAACAGCCTGTGTAATGGAGGCCACAGGTAATCACTCACACAGTGTTGAATACCAAATACTCAGCAGGTCAGAAGCAGAGAAAGGTTTAAAGAAGCCAGTGAACTGGTGGGAGTCAGCAGTTTCCTAATGGCAGTGTAAACAGGCAGATTACTTACCCACAAACATATGCCATCTCTACAATATTAACAGTAAAACCGTGTGCATGATGCTGGTATTAATGCACTAGACAGTAAAAGACACTGCTTTATGTGTGTCTCACAACGAGGCAAAGAAAATTCATCAATAAAAAGTGCTTCTATTAAGCAAAAGTCATGGCTCCTTTTCCTAACTTAGTATCACCAAGACAGTCTTGTACAAGCTGTCTTTTTTTGGTTTCACTTAACACTATGCATATCTTTAAAACTGTGTATGCCTAAAGGATAAATGATTCCCCCATGACCATAATTTCAGAGCTATGATGCTGTACATATTCAAAGTTCCTGTGTATGTCAGCAGTTGTACATGTGCCAAGCAGGCAGAGTGTTATGCTTCTGCATCTTTGAAATAAACTTGTGGATGTTATTATGCCTTTATACACCTGATGTTGAAAACATGTTATTAAAAAAGTACAATCTTTTTTCCATTCTCTATGCTATGCCCTCCAAAGGCTTTTATAAATTAATGATCACATCCTGTTTTAACTTAGTTAGCTCCAAACATTAGTGGTGTAACTGACTTCTGTGGGATTATTCTAACTTTAGAAGAGTTAATGAAGAAGAGAGCAGAAATACCTTTTGTTATTTTTCTGTAACAACACTTTTGTCTTCCATTTAAATCAGCCTTAGCTAATATTGCTTTTTCTTTCCACAGGTACAAAGATATATTTAAATCATAAGTGTTGACAAACCAGGCATAATGTATCTTAATTTAATTGACAGTGCTATCACAATTTATACTGTCAGTGGCTTCTCTGTTGTGAGGCCTGAATAAAAATATTAAATATAAAAGCAATATTCCTTCAATCAAACTCTTTTTGGGAAGCACATATCAACTTAATAATTGAAACTAGTATTCCAATCATTTGTGCAGTAATTTCTCGTGTCATGGGAAAAGTGTTAGAAATTGTTCCTATTGAGAACAAAAGAGTCAGTCTAAACTGGTATGATGTTAAAATGGAAGTTGGTGAGGTTAACTAGATGATTTGGAGAAGAAGCATCGAGAGATGGAAATTTCCCTGCTAGAAAATCCATCAGAGGAAGTAACTTTCATAAGCTGCTGAAAAAAATGGTGGAGATTTCAGTGGATGGTTACCTACACTCTCAGACATGAATCAAATTGGTGGGCTGAATCTCACCTTTACTTTAAAGAAAATTCAATTTTAGTTAAGGATGAGAATGCTGATAGAAGTGGAGGGACACTGCTGTTTTGCAGTTCAGGCTGTATATTCTGCAGAGAAAGAGAATATTCCCCAGAGCCTGCTTTTTTGCTGACAGACTTTCTGTCAAAAGGTAAATTTTTTCAGTGATTCCTTCAACTAATATATTAGACATTTACAGGAAAAAAAGAGTGGGCTGGAAGAGGAAAAATAATTGCAGAGAAGTATTTTATATTCATTTCCATAATGAAGTTATGAGGGCAAATAGGTATAATTAAAAAGAACAGCTTAACACCAAAATCCCCAATCACTTGTCCCAAAATTCCAAAAAATTGAACATAACCCAGTACTTGTATATTTCAATTAAGGATTAAATTTCATAGTAATTTTGTAACCATTAGTTAGTTTGTGTTTTTTTCCTAATTCTGTACATTTATTCAATTAATAAGAGCGAGATATATTTTTCCTGAGCGTCAAAAACATAAGGAGTTAAGTTTCAAAAAGTGCAGCATGGAATGTAATACTGTAAATGGATATTTTCTTTTCTGTGAAACTGAAAAGTTGATTGCAATTCTAATCTGAAGAGGTGCATTTTGTCCAAGGAGGACATGTATACATAAAAAAGCTGACATACAGTAGTTCATTTTCCATTAAAGTATCTTTCTGCAGGCACTAGGTAGAATTTATTTGCAATATGATTAGGCTGTATTTTTTCTGTCTCTAGGTATGTTTCTTCTCTACTCTCATCCTCTCTTCCAAGAACTCTTACCCCAGTGAAATGTATTTTCGGAAAACTGTTGAACTTACTGTGCAACCTGAATTTTAGGCAAAACTTGGGTGATATTCAAAGTCACATATATACAATCAGGTAATTAAAACACTAAGACATTTTCCTGTAGAGGATTAGGCAAAGCTTGTGAGGTAGACAAGAACAAAGCCATTGAGATCAATATTCAGACTCTGAGGATCAGCTGGTTTCAGAGCTGTTTATGGAAGCAAGACACACAATAGTGATGCAGGCGAAATTAAACCCCAACAATTTTCTCTATGGCTAAGTAATAGAATTCCTCCTAATTAAAACTACTTAGTGTGGCTGCAGGCACAGCCTGTGCTAAACAATGTTGTCCTGATGCTCTTTAGAAACAAAACAGTAGCTTTTTAATGTAAAGATACCTGTGTAAATCTACTTCATATCTCCCTGACCTTTCTCCTCCTGTTGCAAAACTATTTTTCTGTCATCTAAAAACATGCCCAATTATATTTCCAGTGGCCCAACCATTTCCCAAGGAGCCCGTTAATTGTATAGTCTGACTGGAGAGTTCATAATGTCCATATGGTATTTTTTCTTCCCTAGTACAAGAGAAATGGGTCCTGCCTCT